TCTTCCGTAGGACTCCCTCCAAACTGATTATTTAGGACCATATTGATCACTGCCGGCTTAATCTCGTAACGGGGTGCAGTAATCCCCGGTACCTGAATGCTGTCATACTCAACGATCTCGGGGGCTAGGAAGTCTGCAATGCTCTCTCCTTGATAGAGCGGATTGTCATGTGGGACATAGTTGTTGTAAGGAGGAGCTTGATATCTCGGCTGATGAACTGGTTGGGGTCTTATGGGTTGTGGACGGATGATATTTGGCTGAGGTTGGGTTTGATGAAATTGTTGATATTGGGGTTGGAAAGGCTGATTTTGTGGCTGAGTAGGAGATGGATTTTGTGTGACTGGCGGTTGGTTCTGTCTGGGCTGGAAGACTGGATTATTTTGCCCTAGACCTTGCATACCAAAGGTTTGATTTTGAAACGTGGTTTCAGGAGCAATAGAAGTATTTTGGAAGAGCTGATAGAGTGGTGGAAGATTTAGTTGTGGAGTGGACTGATTTTGGGGGAAGAATGGGGTACGGAGATTTTGATACCCCGGATAAGCTCTAGGTGAATTTTCTTGTGAAGACTGGGGAGAGGTATTAATATAAAAATCCAGATTACCAGAAGTGGTTTGGACCTCAGACGTCCCAGCTGTTTTTGTGTTTGTGTGTTTTATTTTTGCAGCTCAGGGTCTTGCTTTGGGGATGATGTGCCGAGGATCACTTAACTTAGTTTAGTTCTGCACCAACCAGCGCCTTAGGGAAGTTTTTATGACTCTAATAATCGCCTGTTTGTAATAATGGACTTGAGTTAAGTTGAGCACGCGTGACCCTTATCCTCTTTACCCCCTTGTGCATAGTGCATTTTTGGTCATCCAGGGCGATGCCAAAGTTTAAGTGTGGGGGAGTGAATTGGGCATTCGGGCAGTAGTCATTACATGTGATTTTTAGAGTTAGCATGCACAAGTGTTAGTTGATATTCATAGGAAATTCATGTCAAATTTTTTGAAAATTTTTCTTTAAACTGTGTCTTTGTGAGCTGGCTAGCGTTTTGACTATACTTTTAGAACATCCTTGAAGTGTTTAGGCTTAAATTGCTTGCACTATAATCTAGTTGTTGAGAGGATGAAGGCATTAGTCACCCATTGAATTAATCCATTAATCATCCACCCCACCTGAATAAGACCCTTTAGGAGAAGCCATTTTGAGCCTTACCGTTTATTGTTACCCGATTAATTGAGCTCCATAGCCAAATGGCCTATTTCCTTACCCGTGAATATTTCTGACTTAGTCTTGATGTTTAGGGAACTAGGGGATTAATTTGCTAAGTTTAGAGAATTTGTGTAGGAGCCATTTTGGCACTGTTCCTATGCCCCAAATGGGGTAAGAGCAGTCATCTTTTAGGAATATGATACTTTCGAGGATTGTATTGTAGGCATGGATTCACTTTGAAATTAATGAACTTAAATTGCTATTTTTCCTTTGTGAGGCCGAGATTAGAATGTGGTAATGTCTAGTAAGAATCCGAAAGGTGAAAAATTAATATAGCTAGACCTCTTACTTTCCGAAAAAGAGAATGGGAGCCCCGGTCAAAAAGCGTAAGATGAGACTTGGGTATCTTTCGAAAGAAACGGCGTTCTCGTGCCAACATGACAAGGAAAACTAAACATAATTAATGAATTTGGAGGCTATCTCAAAATTTAGCTTTAGTCCTCCGCGTACTTCAAGTATACGTCAAAGCACAAATGTGCCGAGACGGTTTAGCTTAGTTGTACACCATGTCTACTCTTTGCATAGGTTTAAATGATTGTTCCTAAATTGTGGCCTACTGAGTTCCTTGATCCTAAGAATAGCCCTGAAGTTCCTGAATGCATTGAGTCTTTGTTAGAATATTCCAATCTCTCAAAAGAAAGGGACTGTTTATTACCATTCATCATTCATCATCACCTTCACAAGTCCTTCTGATCAATAGCTAGTTTATTTGTGTATGCTGTCATTACTCTAAGGATGTTGTGAATACTTTGTCAAATAGTTTAGCTTGAGTACAAATATGTAGTTTAGGGAAGAATTTTCTTGGTTTAGTCTGCCTGTTCTGTGAATATTCCTTTAACTACGTGTGCATGCTAATTGTTTTGATTCCGTGTGGTGATTATCGTAAGTCCCGTTGTTCAGTTTGCTTGAGGACAAGCAAAGACTTAAGTGTGGGGGAATTTGATAAGTTCGTATTTTGACACGCATTTGATGCGTGTTGAGATCGGCTTTTGATGATTTTCCTAGTTTTAAGGTGTTACAAGTCTCAATTTTAGCTCAAGTTATGTTTACCAGGCGTTGGTTCGAGTTTTGTGTAATTTGGAGTCAAAATCGGGAATTTAGAGTTCGGCACCGGCACTTGAGGAACAATCAGGATGATTTTAGAAGCATTTGAGAATGATTTGATAGATTTGGAGGTCTCCGGAAGATTCACGATGAAGATTTGAAGGAAAAAGAGCTCTAGGATTGGCTTCGGGATCAAAAGAAGATGAATGAAGCTCGAAAACGACGATCAGAATGACCTTCTGTCAATCATTCAAGCTTATCTCTTTGTAGAAACAACCAATGGACACGATTCAAGTTGAATAGGAAAGCCAACTTCAAGGGCTACAAATCATATGAAGACACCATTACGAGAATCTGAGAGGATCAAGGTGAAAACAGATGATGAAGTCAGATAATCTCTGCTGCGATCTCAGAATGACACCTTCCACCTTTTTGATCATATCTCTTGATTGGATGATTCAAATCACATTCCGTGAGTTGGAGTGGATAGAGGACTTCATTATCTACAACTTTCATGAAGGAAGTTTTGTCAAATTCGGAATAGAAAAAAGGCTGAAGAGCACGGACGCACGATCGTGCGTAAGAGCCAACAACGCGGCAACTAATCTGCCTGCTACGCACGATCGTGCGTACCAGGACACGCACGATCGTGCGTACACCCGAGACGCGGATTTCAGCCCTTTTTAGTCCCAGTTCAGCCCAAACTCATCTGTTTTCTATAAATAAGACCCCCATACCCATATTTTGACGTTACGAACATTACGGAGAGTCCTAGGGACGAATTTAACACCGTTTTAACACTATTTTCTTCCAAGACCCTGAGATTATTTGTAAGTTCATCTTTTTAAATAATGACAATTTATTCTATTCATCCCAATTCTGTTGATTCTTCAATTATGAATTGTGAGTAGTTTAATTAGGGATTTGGGATTGATGAAGGGGTTAATCATGATTAATTAAGAGAGGGATTAATTGCATGAATGCCGTTTAATTTGTGTTTGAATAATTTAACGGATATCTTTTGTAACCTGGAACCGCGGCTAGAATTACAATTGCTTGTAGAATAAACTAAGAGAGATCTAGTTTATTCTTGGACACATTCACACACACTTAATCGTTCGCTAAGAGATTAGTAGCGATTAAGGGGCCGTAAGCTCGCTCGTCTTGGCAATAATTTAGGATCTTGTCGCATGAGAGATCAGCCTGGTCCCCTAAATTATTGTACTCTACGCCGCGAGAGCGGTAAGAACTTAGTAATGATCAGCTAGGCTCAATTAAATTAAATTCATGTAATTAGACCTGATCTGCCAGAAATCCGGTTACCCCGGAATCAATCCTTGTTCCCTTCGTCATTAATTGAGAAGAAACCACTTTTATTTTAATCGTTCATTCGCATTAGTTTAATTTTTATTCAACCAACCAATCTCGCACGACGTATTTTTTTATTTATTTCTTTTAATCGCTGAATTTAATTAATTTTTGATTCCCTTTTGTCCGTCCCTGTGGAGACGATACTCGTACTTACACCACTATATTACGATCTATTTTAAGTGCGAGAAAACACACATCATATGTCAATGATCTTCGGCTCTTGCCGCCTCTGGTTGTTAATGTCGACATGTCTGGGGATGTCGACATGATTTGGAACATGTTGTCTTTGGGACTTTGCAAACAGATTTCAGAATATGTTCCTTCTGGGATTTGGGGATGGAATGGAACGAGTTGAGGGCCCTGCTCCTGCAGATGTGTCGGCCCTGGAGTGAGGGATGAAAGGTTCCGTTGAAGCCGGAATCGAACCCATGTTCAGTCTCGTTGCCACGGTAGCCACATCCTCACCCCGTCGTGAGCTGGAGGCTATGGATGCCACCGATTGCACCTGAGATCTTAAAGCGTCATTTTCACCTTGGAGGAAGGTCATTTGTTGACGCATTTCCTCCCAGACAGCTTTTAATTGTGCCGCGTCGGAACTTTTGGATGCGTGGAGCTCTTCTCGGACGGCTTCTAGCTGTGCCGCACCGAAACTTTTGGATGCGCGGAGCTCTTCTCAGACGGCTTCTAGCTGTGCTTGAATCTCATTAAACAGGGAGTTAGAACTTTCGGCCATAGTTGATTCTCTTTTTACTAGAATTTCCCACAGACGGCGCCAATTGTTTTGACAAGAAATTAACTAATCAAAAACTATTTAATGAAGAGGGAATCAAGCAAAAAGAATCAGATATGAAGGAATTGATTAAGAAATAAATATAACCGGAATTTAGTAATATGGCTATCAAGAAGAATATGAATATGGTTGTGCGTGTATATCTTTCTATATACAAACTGTTGTGGAACACCAGCAAGAATTCCCGCCCAAAAAAAAGGGTCAACAATTCGGATCCAGGTCAAAAACGGGTCTACCAATAAAGTACAATATTTCAGCCGCACAATTACTTTCTGCTGCATAGGGAGGCCGCATGGTAGCATTTATTATGGTTACAATGAGTCTTTTCAAATCTTTTTGAACATTAAATGCAAAGTAGTGGGTAATTTGTAATGCATCGGCCTGATTTCCAATTTCAAAAGGATTTGCATTAAATGATATGTACTTTCATATCTTCTTGAGCCAACCAAAGTATAAAATAAAATCTTTAAAGTACATAGCATTAGTGCTAGGCAACAATGAGGTTTGAGTTCGAATTTTAATTTAAAAATATTGAACAAAAAGGGTGAGAACCATTGCAAGTCATCCAGTATAAATAAGGTTCTTGGGTCAGCTTATTTTCCATCCCACACAGCATCATCCATTCTTGCAACAAAATTCAATGGCAGCAAACCAAGGACAGTTCTCATTTCTCAGGGACTTGGATCACACCAAGACAACTTGGGCGATCAAAGTGAAGGTTGTGAGAGCTTATGAAATGCCACCTCAGTCCAGGGGAGGACAGAGGATAGAGTTGGTTTTCATTGACTCCCAGGTAAGTTTGAATACGCTATCAGCAGATTGAGTTTAAAAGTTCAAGCTATTGCATCTAGAAGATGATTCTGTATATTTATCTCACAAATTAAATATGCAGGGAGACAAAATTCACGGTTTGATAAAGAGGCCTCAGCTACGTTTGTTTAGGTCTAAGATTGCAGAAAACGGGGTTTATGCAATTAGGGATTTCTTGGTGATGGATAACTACTACACTTACAAAGCCACAAACCATGCCTACTTGATCGAATTTTATGGCAAGACTATAGTTAAGGATATTAATCCTGACATTGTGCCAAACAGTGTGTTTGAATTTCAGCCATTTGAGGTTCTACAAACCTTGAGGGTTGTTGATGATAAACAACTAATTGGTAATATCTAACTGAATCTTTTCAGAAAAATCATTAAATTACTAAACAAAAGTAAAACATATTTACTTGAAGTTTTAATGTACTAGATGTTATTGGAAAGGTGGTTAACAAGTGTACAGCTCAGAACCTTATCATCAATGGTAGGGGGGAGAGGCTCATGGAGCTCGCTCTTGAGGACACAGAGTAAGTATAAGACATGTTGAACAATAATTTACAAACTGGACATTAAAAGATGTCAAACACAGATGGAAAAATAACTATCCATTGTACAGAGGAAACCGGCTGGGCTGCACTCTATGGAACAGCTACATTGACAACTTTCTAAACTACTACGAAGATCACAAAGAGGAAGGGATTTTTGTGATTGTACAGATGTGCAGGGCAAGACGTTACAAAGGTAATATTTTTTTTATTTAATTTACAGCAACCACTATGTGTATTATGCTACTGAACCACTTTGTATTTCAGGCACCATTTCAGTTGGTACCTCATACGATGCTAGCAAGCTAATAATTAATGGAAACACGAGTGAGCTGGTGGACTTCAAGGGACAGTATGTGTTTACCATATTCCAAATTTATAAACAATAAACAAATTTCAAAATAGAAGAATTGTCAAAAATACATAAATTACAGGTTCCCAGCAGAGGAGAGGGACAATGGTACTTTGACTACAATTGCTGCTAATTCACAAGTCGAGAGTCGAGAATATATTCTTGGAGGAAATCTGACTGTAACAGCGATTGCTGATTTGGTTAAAAAAACAGAGGTAATAATGGATATAACTGTAACAAATAAAATTCAAATATGAACAACTTTTTTTTAAATATAAATATACAGGAAGGAGTGTACTGGATCTTGGGGGATGTAGTCTCAATTGAAAACTTTAGAGAATGGTGTTACTTGAGTTGCAAGACTTGCAACAAAAAACTGCAAGCAGATGATGAAAGATTTGTGTGCCTCTACTGCAACCTAACACTTCCAGACGGAATTTTAAGGTATACAACATTTTACCTTCATGGCTGTGAGAAGATGTTATTCTTAATAACATTTTATATTATTATTATTATCATAGGTACAAAGTGACTGTGTGCGTGATGGATGATTCCGGTCATTCATCATTCACACTTTGGGATAGGGATTGCTTAGACATGCTGGGCAAAACAGCATCCGCCCTAAGGGCTGAAGTTGAGCAGGTGTATAAATTGTGATATCTCCTATTGATGGGTGAATTATGTTTTGTTAAATGCAAATATGAGAAATAATTTGTTACAAACTTATATATAGAGAACTGGGGATCCAACACATTTCCCTGAAGACATAGAGGCAATCATAGACAAAAGAGGACTGTTTAAAGTCCAAATAAAAAACAAGGCTGAGAGTAGTTCTTATAAAGGTCCTATCTCCTATGGTGTGATCACAATGATAAGGGACGAGGAAGTCTTGAAAGTGTATGAACATCCAAAAGAGAACGGGAAAGGGCTGGAAGAAATTTCTGACATGGAGAAGGTACAAGAATTACACAGATTGTGTTCATATTTAGAAAAGAATGAAATCTTATACTCTACTTTTTATTTACGAAACGTTAATTAAATATATTTCAATTTCAGAGCGGCGGCTCGACAGCAGACAACTTGGAGGGAAGCATGCCCCAAAAAGTTGACATTGTTGACCTAGATAAGGTATATTGGTTATGGTCCATGAACATCAAAATCCTGGACTTTTTGGCAATGCTAATTTTGAATTGTACCTTTTCGAAACAGGAAGGAGAGGATGGTGTCACCCCAACACAAAGTAAACGTAAAAGTAAGAGAATTGAAGAAGAAGAGACTCTGAAAAGGAACTTGATGGGGCAGTTTTCTACCAACGGGAAAAAGTTGAAGACCAAAATTAAGAAGGAACCAGAATAGAGGAGTTGAAAGTTATTATTATGGGGCTACGAATTGAAGACTTTATGTTTTGCTAAAAGTATTCACGAAAGTGAAAAACAATTACTTTGACTTCTTTTTGCCTAAACATGACATCTATGGAGTCATCTCCATTGGAACCTTGGTTGTAATTATTCGGATGTGTGGACTGTGGACCATCCTAATTTACTGTTATGTTTTGCATGTGGTCTATATGTGTGATATATTTTTTTTGTGCAGGTGATCTATTTCCTAGAGAAAACGGTACAAAAAGATGTGACGATCCTAATTTACTGATACATTATTCATGTGTGCTGTATGTGTGGCATGTCTATTATTTTGCAGGTGGTAGAAACTGGATTTGGTACAAAAGATGAAGACGATGGAAGAAACTGAAGTGTTGCTATCTTTGGAAAAATATGTCGGGAAATCATATGTAATATGCAAGTATCATGTTAGAAAGTTGGGGGATTATAATTACTTGAAATTTGACAAAGCATGTAATCCCAAAATGTAATTTTCCCAAAATGTAATTTTGAAACAGAATGTTCATTTCTATATGAAATTGAGTTTCCTATCATTTATCTATTGCCCCACAACTTTGGAAACAAAAGGCTCTATGCAGTGATCAATGTGTGAAGTTTGAGGGCTCATTCCTATTGTTACTTTAGTGTCACAATGCAAACAATTTCTAAGATAAGTGCATAACTCAAAGATGAAAAAGATAATGAATAAGAGGGATAGGTTTTTGATACCTGTATAAAAACTTGGCTGGGCAAGATGACCTGCACTTCCTAATTTCAACTAATTAACTATTACAGACCAAAAAACAATTACATGATTGGCAACCTTCTAAAGGTTCCAGAATCTATGGCCTATACAGAGATCTACATGACTTATACAGAGTATGCTAAACTTCAAATGGACACTAAAGCCCTGCAAAATTTAAGATCAATAACATTGTTAAGTTGGAATTACATACTTCGAAAAATCCATGTGTCAATGACTTAAGCAATATTATAAATGTAATTGTATATATGAGTGTTGGATTCATAAATATAATAAATATAAATATATATTGAGATCAATATATACAAATATATAATATATAATATAAATAGTTATATAACAATTACCTATATGAGAATAAAAAATTACATTTGCTCAATTACATCTTTTGCTCAATTAATACTTATTATGAGACTTTGTTAAAAAATTTGAGGTAATGAAAATAGTGGCAAATCATGAATAATGGTTAATTTCATGAATATATGTATAAGTATACTTATAACCATATTAAAAAAGAACATTTTATATTAATTTTTTAACATAATAACATACTTATATATATAACGTATATACCGAAATGGATATATTTTCGACAGATGTAATAATAACATCTGTTTTATATTAATTTTTGAACATAATAACATACTTATATACATACTCATAAGTACCTATATGTATACATATAATAGAGTTTTATGAGAAACTTAAGTAATAAAATACATTTTTTTATCTTTAACTGAGGTTACAACTATAAACTCAATTATGGTTAATTTCATGAATACAAATATAAATACACATACATATAATAAATGCTTTACTCAAGCACTATCATATTTAAATATTTGAAAATACCAACATCTTGATGGTAAATATAATATACAGATACAATATGTAATAACATACACACACACACACACACATATGTACCGACCTGCTTTAGAAAGATATACAAATATAAATATGTTATTCTAATAAGTAATGTATAAATATAATAGCATTTGATAAAAAACTTATGTATAATAAAATTTACATTACATCTTAAGGATCAATTATTCCAGAAAAAATAGCCTGTCCTAAGAATTATATTTAAACTGCGTATTATTGGCATTAAAGTGCATTTTACTGATTTAAAAAAAATAACAATATACATGTAACATAATCAAAACTCTATGTCATTACTTGATAGATACTTGGTGAAAGTATTAAAATGCATATCTCCATCTAACATTACTCAAAATACTATTTACAAAATGCAAAAATACAGTGATTCCGTGTGATTTAAAACATGCCAACTGTGGTCATTTAAAACAATAAATATTGTCCTATATATTGAAACCATATGTTGGTACAGCTATGTTCCTGATAATGTTTGCTAATTACTCTTGAAGTGCAACATGTGGCATTTTAGTGTTAAGAATGGGCATCTAGAAATAAGGTAGTTTTCATTTTACAAATATGCATATGGCAGTGCACCTGTAAAACTTTCAATAATTTTTGGGGGTAATACTTTTACACATAAAAGATATATTCTGTTAGGTTATAATGTATGAACAAAAATAGCAAAAGGCACTTAATTTTGACTCAAACAGTAATGGAAAATTGTGTTGAGGAAAAATAATAAATATTTTTCAATGCCACGTTACATTTCAAGATTTTCAAGCCATTCTATTTCTTCCTAAACATGCTGGACCAAGCATTTTTTTTTAAATTACCAGGCCCAACAAAAGGAATTTAAGGACCTAGCAAAAAATATGTAAAGCCACAGCTCAGGATAAATCATTTGAACAAAATTACTTAAGAGAAGATTTAGAGCTGAGCAATAGGCAACAAGTTATAATAATGAAACAACATTTAATGCAATGTACTAAAATATCTTTGCTCTCAGAAGAATATCTAATGCATTGTTGTACTATATCTGTACTTTTTTAAAATATATCATATTTCGGCTGCTGCACCTCTCAAAACATTAATGGTTTACCATCATCACATATCCACGACACCAGTAGGGTGGTTATAGAGTGCTCAATGAAAATAGTACAAATAGTTGTGAGAAGAAAATCCGTACCTTTGGTCAATAACCTGCACAATCGGATACCATATACGGAGTAAGAAGTTCAAAATCTTTTTATAATTCAAACAGTGAACTGCCAGGCATTAATTGCAAGTCAGTAGAGCAGCATTTCTCAATGCTAGGATGGCTGCTAGGTCGGCTGGAATTTAATGAAGTCTGAGATCAAGTCATATTTATGTACCAAGTTCAAAACTCACTGCATAAATGCTTCGAAGATGCATTTACTCTTTGCTCTGAAAAATCATTTATGACCTCAACCATAAAAAAGAAGTAGAAGTTGTGTGTGCAAGGCTGAAGTATAAAAGCTGGACTGAAGCACTTCCCTTCCAAGCGAAAGGTATGCATTAAAGTTTCAATAATGATTTTTATGCAATTGTGTGATAAAACAGGTTGGGCCACAAATTATAAAATTACATTTTATTACAAACAGGACTCAACTTATTTTAAAAACTGATTAATGACATGTCTAAGTTGTGTTGTTAAAGATGAGAAGCTGTGCATGTTCAAAGTGTTCTTCTATACAATGTGACACACAGTGTCATGCATGTGGAAAAGGGGCTGGACTGTATCGGTTGGAAACATGCTTTTGGTGTAATGGAAATATTTCTCACTTTTACTGCATGAGGCCTGTAAACAAGAAAAAGAATACTGGGAATTTCTTATGCACATACTGTCAAGAATGCTTAGATGCAGGACCTATGATACCTAGAAGATCAGGTCGGATTATAACACTCAACCAGAAGTACTTCAATGAAAACACTTGTGTGGGAATGAAGTTTGGTTGGCTTAACATGACATGAATATACTACTGCATTCAAGTGAAAGAAATATGCTAAGTTTAGTATCTTATGTGTTTTGTGGAAACTAAGTAAACTGTTTTGTATTTTGCAAATTGTGTGGCCATTGCTATTTCATGAAATATTGACCCATGTTTAGTTTCCTATTTAAGTGTTGAAATGTAATGCAATGTACACACATGAATACATATGTTTTTGTGAAGACACAGTGGTTGACAATGATATTATGAATGTCAAAATGTGTATGAAAAAAATGTATTGTCGTTTCATGTTTCAAATCTATTTCACATATGCTTCACTTACACAACAATACATACTCATAACATGAAATGCATATGACACAGATTCGGGATTTTGGGTGGCAAGTGGTTAGTCATTTTCAGGCCAACGGACTGCCAGACCACGCAGTTCCGAAGGCCACTATTGTGGCTGGCAGGGTATCTGACAGTCCTATGGGATGGGCCTTAATAAGCACTAAACACCATAACCAACATGGTGGCTTATACATGTCAGGGCATATATGATATATGGTTCATGAAACCAGATTGCCATAGATGACACCTGCACATAACATATTATATGTACATTTCTGTTAATGTTACTTTCACAGGTTATGTAGTGGTCAAGCTTAAAATGAAGAAGATCACAAAATCAACCATAATCAACCGCAAAAGAGGGATCAATGAGATAGTTGATCAAGGTATCGAAAACCAGTATAAATATTTACTGAAATTTTTAAATACGGTATAAAAAAGAATGGTTAGAGTTTTACCAATTGGAAAATAGTTTACTAATTATGCCATGTATATACTATTAATACAGTTTTAAAATGTAATAAAATTTATGAGTACAGGGTATAAAAGATCCTGGGTAGAGTTTATATATAGTATTCATATGTATGTGGAAAAAAGTGTACTGAATATACTGTGTACATACTATATATACAGTTTGAACATTTTTACAAAAAATTTAGACTATGGTATAAAAGATACTGGGTATTGTTCATATATAGTATTTATATCCATATGGAATAATACAGAGTAAAAATACAGTTTAAATATGTAGTGAAATTTTTCAGCAGAAAGTATAAGAGATACTGGGTACAGATGATATATAGTATTCATATCCACAAGGAATATGGATAATAAGTAGGATTTATACCATCATGGTACTGATTAAAAGTGTATAAACTATATATGTACTATTCAATGTGTACTATGCATATACTGAAAATACAATTTCAATATGTAATATAATTTTATAGGACAGAGTATAAAACTTCATGGGTAAAGTTTACATATAGTATTCATACCCATATGTAATAGATAGTATGTACCATTTTTACCATCATGAGTTTGATTAACAATTTTAACATGTATCATATATATATATATATAATTATTTTAGCAGTATGAATAAATACTAACTGTAATATTTGAATACACAGCAAAAAAGATAATGGTTAGAGTTTTACCAATTGGAAAATAGTGTAATAATTATACTATGTATATACTGTAAATACAGTTTCAATATGTAATAAAATTTTGGAGTACAGAGTATAATAGATTTTGGGTATAGTTTATATATAGTATTCATATCCATATGGAAAAAAGTGTAGTAGTTATACTATGTATGTATACTATAAATAATGTTTGAATACGTAATAAAAATATTGATTAGAGTATAAAGGATACTGGGTATGCTTGACATATACTATCATATCTGTATGGAATAGACAATATGTAGTATTTATACAATCATGCCATCAAAATATACACGTATAAATAAGGTTGAGTAATAGTATTTATACCATGAATGTATATAAATATACATGATATACAGGTGTGTACACGTATAAATAGTATCTTATAAAGTGGTTATAGCATCAGTGCGTATAAATATTCATATATATACATATATATATATATATATATATACATATATATACATAGTGTACGGTATTAGAAAATGTATTCATGCCATCAATGGATATAAATATATATGTGTACAGAATCATCGAAAGGCAAGGAACACACAGATTTCTGAGATTATTATCTGTAATGACCTTTCTCATCTATAAAGCGGAAACAAAAAAATTACTTCACCCACACCAAAAAGAATGTTCATCGGTCACCATACACAGATCTCATATTTGGAAAGATCTGGCCATGAAATGGTGTAATCGATGGGATTTTTGTATCCTCAAACAATACAGCTATCACCAGATCTATATATGTTATTCAAAATTTTGAAAACCGATTGGCAAAAAATAGGATATCCTTTGAAATGTAAAGCGTAAGCTTTGATAAGTTAGATGGATTTGTTAAACAGATAACAATAGCGCTGAATAACATGAGATCTGTGGAAATCGATATAAAATATACACATGAACTGATGAAAACAAACTAAATGTTTGAGGAAAACTTATGAAAAGGAGATATACCAAACGACTGAGATGCAGTCGCGGATTAGTCGATGAAGCCAATTGATAACCGCCGATTAGGATCCTGCCTTAACACTGCACCATCCTAGACATGGCACCGGAAAAGCGGAAGACAATCGGAGCTAGACGAAGGGGTATAGGGAGGGGTAGGTTTTGTACGAAGATTCAGGGTTGCTGCTAGGGTTATAGAGAGCATAGGTCTGAGAGTGAGTGTAAGTTTGGGTCTATGTAACGGGTGAGTCTTCATATCCTTATACAGTTCGTGTTTGGGTAGGGTAGGGTTAGGAATTAATGTGGGCTGATAGGGTTGTTGGGTTGGGTAGGGTTAGGAATGAATATTTATAGCAATTGGTTTGATGGGTCCAAAAAGGCTTAGACCCTATTTCGTAGCACAAAAATCTGCTGTTTTGGCTGAAATTAATGAAGTTCTGGCTGAAGTGGTTGTTTTGGCTGTTTCTGCTGATTTAAGTAAAAAAATATTTTTAAAATGTATTTTATTAATAAAATAAAGAAAAAATTATATGTAAAAATAGCTAAAATGGTCATCTACGGTAACTTCAGCCAATACAGCCAGAAAAGTAACTATAACCTTACTTTTTCTGCTTATTACACAATTCAGCGCGCGAAAGAAAAAGTTACGTGTTTGGTGAAAAAGTTGGCTGATAAGCCTGATAAGCCGAGAAAAAATGTTGCCAAACGGCCTCTTAATTGGGTTCAATTAAAGTACAATTCAAGCTATAAATTATTGTTCCAGATTATTAGAGTATTCAAATTGTGATTTTAATAATTTTAATATAGATTAAAACTGGTAGATAAATTTTTAATAATAATGAGAAATTGTTAATTGAAACTCTGTAGTTGTTAATTGATGTTAATTGTATATAATATAAATTAGGAATTTTTAATTACCCAAAATATGAATTTATGTTTTTTACCTTTTTTTCTGCAGAAAACGACAATGGTAAGGTCGGTACTCAACATCCTTCACGATTTGTGGGAATTGGTTCCAGTTGTTCTAAATTCACAACAATTACAAACGGGGGATTCTCAAACGTTTTAGCAGATAGAACAAATGGTATGAAAATAAAATATTTTTTAATTTTCAATTAACGACGTTGTAATTTAATTTAAATGTAATATTTAATGTTTAAACAATTACAATGTCTAATATTACTTTGTAATATACTCTCTCCGTTCTTTTTTATTAGTCCTCTTACAGATTTGTACGGGTTTTAATAATAAAGTAGTAGAGTAAGTGTAGAGTGTGCATGATAAATGATAAAGTAGGAAAGATTATTATTAAAAAGTGTAGAGTAAAGTGATGGTAAAGTAGAAAATAAAAAGTAGTTTGTAAAAAGTAAGCAGGATAAAAGTAATAAAAGTGAGGGTGTTTTCTAAAAAACTTTCCTTAAAGGGAAAGGAGGAGAAATAAAAAAAAACGTCCTAAAAAGGAAAAAAGGACTGATAAAAAGGAACGGAGGGAGTAATAATATATATAGTATATTACAATATATATAGTTATGATATTGAATAATAATTTTTAATGTCAATGACTACATTGACTATATATTGAATATTTATATATACCAATGTTTTGAGATTTTAAACACTCTTAATTTTTATTTGTTAATTAATAATATTAATATTCATAATAATTGTTAATAATAATTTTTAATTGATGCAAATTGTAAATAAGAAGTTTATCAAATTTGGATTTATATGTGAATATTTAGATAATATAAAATAGAACTTGCCAAAAAAAATAACTCAATTTCTGTTTATTTTTTTTTTTCTGCAGAAAACGTTGATAGTAGGGTCAATAGTCTGCATCCTTCTCCACCTCTGGGAATCGATTCCAGTTCTTCTAAATTCACAAGATCAAGTGTAAAGGAAAGAATCTCTAACTTTTTTGCAGATAGAACAAATGGTATCTACTATCTCTTTTTATTTAATGATAATAATGATATTAATTTGTATATTTTTATATATTTATGACATATGCATGCGAGTACCATTCAATATTTATATGTACATGAATTTACATATAATTTAAAAAATATGTTTGTGTTGGTTTAGTATAATATAAAAAACACATAACCGAATAGTATTTTGATGAGGATGATTAAGTGTAATGAAAGACTTCATTTCTTTTGTGAAAATGTTTTCATAAAATCTTTTATAACTTAATTTAAAATCTTTTATGCATGGCGTATTTCGTGGTTTTGATATTGAGAAATGACAATTGTAGTGTTGCAGTCACCGTTCAACTCTTCTTTAGTATTGACCACACAAAATGTGAATGACATAGAACGTCCTGTTGGTATTGTACCACAACGCACATTGCCTGCCATTCATGATGTTCCATCACAAACCAACGTTGATGAAGGTCCGAAAATTGCACAATTCAATTCCTCACACATGGTAATGAGTTGTTGCTTATTAATTTTTCCGTTTTGTAGGTATAATCAGCAGTGAATATTGGGACATTGGTGATCTCAGTTATGATTGTGAACACTGTGGGGCACTGTTTTGGTATGATGAAAGATTGCTGCGAAGTTCTACTATAGGAAGCACTAAGTATTCTCTATGCTGTGGGCAAGGGAAGATAAAACTAGCACCTCAGAAAGAGCCTCCAAAAGAATTGTGTGATTTGATAAATGGCACAGATCAAAAATCCAAACACTTTCAGGAAAATATTCGATCATATAATAGCATGTTTTCTTTCACATCAATGGGTGGAAGGGTTGATCAAACAATCAACATTGGTGGCTCACCTCCAGTTTTTAAACTTAGTGGTCAAAACTATCATTTGATTGGGAGTTTGTTGCCTGTGGAAGGAAATGTCCCCAAATTTGCGCAATTGTATATCTATGACACTCAACATGAGGACGTTAATCGCCTCACCTCGGTGGGGTAATAACCTAATACAACATCAATTTGGTTTTTTTATTATGAGATTATGGGATTATGCTAAACAATATTGTACTTTTGTTTTGAAATGTTAGGGATGAGAAACGAAAGAAGAAATTGCATGTTGATATTGTTTCTACCCTAAGGCAAATGTTGGATCAACATAACGTTTTAGTTAAGTCTTTTAGGATGGCTAGAGACAAGATTGCGGAATGTGGACATTCCAATGTTTACTTGAAGTTAATTGGGCGGAGAAGTAGAGATGCTAGAACATACAATTTGCCCACGGTGTCTGAAGTGGCGGCTTTGATAGTTGGTGACTTCGATGAATCTTTGGGGCAGAGGGACATAATGGTCGAAACTCAAGGGGGTGTTTTGAAACGAATCAATGAGTTGAATCCTGCTTATTTGGGGCTACAGTATCCACTTCTGTTTCCTTATGGTGAAGATGGGTATAGAGAGGATATAAGTTTTTCAGATTCTAATAGTAAAAGTACTAAAGGTCGCCGAAGTGTTAGCGTGCGGGAATTCCTTGCATATCGATTACATGATCGTGGGGTTGAGAATTCGTTTATCCTCAAAGCCCGGAGATTGTTTCAACAATTTGTGGTAGATGGATACACAATGGTTGAATCATCTAGACTAACTTATATAAGATTGAATCAGAAGCAATTAAGATGTGCCATGTATAAAGGCCTATCCGAGGCATTATTGAGTGGTGAACGAGATGCTTCTACCCAAGGAAAGAGAATAGTGTTACCATCGACATTTGTTGGAGGAGCAAGATACATGGTTCAAAACTATCAAGATGCAATGGCTATATGTCGATGGGCTGGATATCCAGATCTTTTCTTGACTTTCACTTGCAATCCAAAATGGCCAGAAATTGTTAGATTCCTTTCTGAAAGGAATTTAAATCCTGAAGATCGCCCTGATATAATATGCAGAGTCTTCAAGATGAAGTTAGATGGATTGATCAAAGATCTCCGGCAAAACAAGATATTTGGTGATGTTCGAGCAGGTTAGCAATTTCTCTATTCTAAATGGTTAATAAACTAAGTGTTCATGTTATATATTAAAAATAATTCATTACAGTGCCTATTATTATTACATGCAGTTGTCTACACTATTGAGTTCCAGAAACGTGGCCTCCCACATGCCCATATATTGTTGTTCATGGGAAATGCAGACAAATTTACAGCTCCTGCAGATATAGATCGCATTATATCAGCCGAAATACCTGACGAGTCAAGTGATCCTGATTATTTCAATGCTGTAAAAATGCATATGATGCATGGCCCGTGTGGGAGAGATGCAAAAAACGCACCATGCATGGTCCAGTCTAAATGTTCTAAGCACTTTCCGAAGAATTTCAATGCGCATACTAACATTGACGAAGATGGTTATCCCAAGTACATGAGGCGGGATGATGGGAAGGAGATTGTGAAGAACACTATACCACTTGACAACAGACATGTTGTTCCACATAATAGGTATTTGTTGATGAAGTATGGGGCTCATCTTAATGTCGAGTGGTGTAATCAATCAAGGTCTATCAAGTATCTTTTCAAATATGTGAATAAAGGTAATGATCGTGTCACAGCTGCATTTTATGAGACCACGAATAAGGATGGCTCGGAAAAACCCGTGGATGAGATTAAATTGTACTATGATTGCCGATACGTTTCACCATGTGAGGCTATGTGGCGTATTTTAGGGTTTGAGATACAATATAAGAATCCATCAGTTGAGCGTTTGAGCTTTCATTTTCCCGATGAGCAATATGTATATTTTGATGACGAGGATGCAATGACAGATGTTGTACAACGTGAATCTGTTAAACAAAGCATGTTTCTGGCGTGGATGAAGGCCAATGAGCAGTATGCGGAGGCAAAAAAATTAACTTATGCCGAATTCCCTCAAAAGTTTGTTTGGAAGCCAAAAACAAGGGAATTTGTTCCTCGACAAAGGGGTTTTGCTTTGGGTCGTGTGGCATATGTACCTCCAGGATCAGGAGAATCTTATTATTTGCGATGTATCCTCAATTTAAAGCGTGGTGCTACGTCTTTCGCCGACTTAAGAACTGTTGACGAGGTTTGTTATGAAACGTATCGTGACACGTGTTACGCATTGGGTTTGTTGGACGATGATCGAGAGTACGTCGAAGGTTTTACGGAAAGCAGTTTTTGGGCTTCTGCTTGGGGACTTAGAGTTCTATTTGTAATATTGCTACTGGCAGATACAATGAGTAGACCTGAATACGTTTGGGACAAATGTTGGAATTTTATGTCTGATGACATTCTTCATAGACAACGACGAGCTTTGCTACACCCAGGTTATTAAAACTTACAGCTTATTTATTTTTAACTATATTATTGTTTTTAATAAGGTAAATACAATTGTTGTGGAATTAAATGTTCATATTTTTTATTGTAGACTTAACGTTGACAGAAGAAGAAATCAAGAATTATGCATTGGTCGAAATAGAGACAATGTTAAGAACTCGCGGAAAAAGCCTAAGGGACTACCCATCAATGCCATTCCCCAATTGCAATAACGCAACCATGTTTCAGAATAGACTTATTTATGACGAGTTGCAATATGATAATGCCGAAATGCGGGAACAACATGACAAATGCATGCAGAGTTTGAATGAGCAGCAAAGTGAGGTGTACAAGACTATTATGGAATCTATTGAAGGGAACAATGGTGGAGTGTTCTTTGTATATGGGTACGGGGGTACAGGCAAAACGTTTATTTGGAAAACGTTGTCAGCGGCTCTAAGGTCAAAAGGTGAAATAGTTTTAAACGTTGCTTCAAGTGGAATTGCTTCATTGTTATTGCCCGGTGGAAGAACTGCTCACTCACGTTTTGCGATACCAATCAACCCAACTGAGCATTCCACATGCAACATCAAGCAGGGCAGCCCATTAGCCCAATTGATTATTAGGTCTAAACTTATTATTTGGGATGAGGCACCGATGACGCATAAATATTGTTTTGAAGCTTTGGACAGAAGTTTGCGTGACATTCTGAGGGTTGTTGATCCTCTTAACACTGATAAGCCATTTGGAGGGAAGACTATAGTCTTTGGAGGAGACTTCAGACAAATCTTACCGGTGATTACCAAAGGTACAAGACAAGACATAGTTAATGCCACAATTAATTCTTCATACATATGGCATGACTGCATTGTTTTACGCTTGACGAAAAACATGAGACTGCAATCGTTGAGTGGCGATCGTGATTATGCTGACTTGGTTGAGTTTGCTGAGTGGATAGCGAGTTTGGGAGATGGAACGGCAGGTGGTCAAAATGATGGTTGTGCTGATATCAAAATACCAAGTGACATTTTGCTCCAAAGTGATGAAGACCCTATTGCCACAATTGTGCGCAGTACGTATCCTGATTTTGAAGCGATGCCGACTGACCCCTCATTCCTAAAAGAACGTGCTATTTTGGCCCCAACGCTTGATGTTGTTGACTCAATTAATGAGTACATGACTGCATTGAATGTAACAGAGGAGTCCAGGACATATTTGAGTTCTGACAGCATTTGCAAATCGGACTCAAATTCTGATTTTTTGGCTGATTTGCATACACCGGAATTCTTGAATAAGATACGTGCATCCGGTGTTCCAAATCATGAGTTGACTCTCAAGGTTGGTACTCCAGTTATGCTTCTTAGGAACATTGATCATTCAATGGGCTTATGCAATGGCACGAGGTTGATTATTACAAGGCTTGGAAATCATGTTCTTGGAGCTACAATTTTAGGAGGTAAATTTGATGGTCAAGAAGTAGTCATACCGAGATTGACACTAACACCATCTGATGCAAGAATTCCATTCAAGTTCCAAAGAAGACAGTTTCCCATCATGACCTCTTATGCGATGACAATAAATAAGAGTCAGGGTCAATCTCTAACGCATGTTGGACTTTTACTGAAAAAACCAGTCTTCACTCATGGTCAACTATACGTTGCAGCGTCTAGAGTTACAAACCGCAAAGGCTTGAAAATATTGATTTGTGATGAGGATGGCAAACAGATCGACCATACTACAAATGTTGTTTACAAAGAGGTCTTTCAGAATTTGTAGTATCGCTGTATCTTGGAGCTTCTACAATTTTTCTGACCACTTCGTACTTTGAAATGTTATATCTCTTTTTTATTGAATACATTTGTCTTTGCCAAAAAAACATATTACGTTGGCCCGTCTTCGTCACTATCTCAATCTCTCTTTTATTTTATTTTCAATTTTTTGGCCTTTTAATAATAAACTTCTTAATCACAAATTGGTAAATATTCATCCGCGCATCGCGCGGGTGAGAATCTAGTTGATTGAACAAGCAGTGGTCTACATTATAGATCACCTAGCCTATTTAAGAGGATGGAGTTTTCCTCTTCCTCAAGATTAGCCTAGTGCTCCCCTTTTGTTGCTCACGTTTAACAACTTTCCTCTATTTTGGCTCCACTTAATCTTATCTTCTATGTTTACTAACTAATTCAAATATTTATCATCCAGACCTTTGCTAAGATTGGGTCGACCCTTGCTTTCAATTAATTTGCTGGCCCAATTGACAAGGAAAATTCTTGGACCCAACAACATATTTATTGACTGGTTGACATGGTAAAAAAGCTGGTAGCCGTCAAATCGAGCAAAAATTGATCGATATGCTCTTAAGAGAACACCCCATTTAACATACACCTAGTACAAAGATGGAAACTCAAATACAGTGTCTTATCTTCCCAATTTTTTTATCAAGGTGGATACTCGATTTTGAAATGTTTTGCGAACTAATTTCTTCGTTTGTAGATGACTTTTAGGAATGAGCGTAGCTCAGGGGCAATTCGTATTCTTACACATCCCATTTTTTAGAAAAGCTTTGGTTTTTCATTTACTAATAAAATAGGGGAGAAGTATGAAAAAAGTACTTATGATTGTGCTCATTTTTACCTAACGTCTTGTGTTTCATTTTTTGAACTCTGTTATCACTGGAGGGGTTAGGCGCCTGATGCCGTTAGAAATTACCAGAGAAAGACGATAAATAGTAGCTCTAATCTTCAAAAGTGTCCTAAAAATTAAAAGAAAAATATTGGGAGGTGCGTCCCGTCAATGAGGCCTCCAGATTAAACCATCTTCGTCTTTGAAATTTTCAAATCTTTTTTTTTTTTAAATGCGAATTCGTTTTCAGAGGATTTTACGGTGACAAGAGTAGTTGGAAACAAAATAGAAAGGTGGCCTAGAGGTCGCCTTGTTGAGGCGCACCTCCCATTATTTCTCTTTATATTAATTGTTTTGGTCACTTTTGAAAATCGAAGTTATCGTTCATCGTTTTCCTCCGATGATTTTTAACAGCGTCATGCGCTGGGCCCCTCATGTGATGCGGAGTTTAAACACATGATTCTTTGTTAAAAAATGAAATACATGACTCTATATGGAAATTAGTCAAACACAAGTACATCTTGTAATTTTCCTAAAAATAATTAGTGTGAAAATTTATACTACATAAAAAATATAGGGATATTAAATCGATCCCAAATTAGTCTTGATAAGCAAACTTTTTAAAAGTGGTTAAGTTAAATATTACTAGTACACCGTATGTTGCAATTATAGACTCTTGACCAAACTAGTCTTCACATGGAGACTCTTCATGAATTATATACTGCTCATCTCTTTAGTGTGTCTTCATTCATGTGATATGATAAGTTATTAAAGTTTAGGGAATCAAAACAACATAGTCTAGGGATTTATACCAGATTTCAATTGTTGAGCAAATGCACCTAAACAATCACTACAAGTATAATATACAGAGTGTATAAAGTGAGGCATTCTTACTTGGTACATTGTCTTATTGAGTTAATTGAATTTAATGTTATTATATTACAAGTTAAAATAGCAGTCGTAGGAAGATTCTTTTCTAAAATAATGTTATAAAGACTATTCTTCACAACAAAATTGGCTATAACTTCCTTTCAATTGTTTGATTCGCTACGTCGAGAGAGCTCGAGTTTTCGAAGTATCATTAATGAATTTACTATAAAACATTTAAAAAGATGGAAGTTGATTTATCTCGACTGGAAAAATGAACTATAAGTCTATAATGTACGTAGTATATCATTAACTACTTCCTATAATTTATGGCGTTGTTTTTTTATGGTTATTTATGTGGCAATTAGGATAATACATACTACTCCGTATGTACATAGTTATGTTTGAATCGAGTTTGTTGTCTTTGACAAATTTAGAAGCTGTTCCGTTCGTCTTAATCTTATTACTTATTCCTTAATCTTATTTTATTCAGATCAGATCAGATTAGATCAGAAAGATTCAGATCAGATCAGATCAGATCAGAAAGATTCAGATCAGATCAGATCAGATCAGAAACATTCAGATCAGATCAGAAAGATTCAGATCAGATCAGCAACATTCAGATCAGATCAGAAAGATTCAGACCAGATCAGACCAGATCAGAAACATTCAGATCAGATCAGAAACATTCAGATCAGATCAGATCAGAAACATTCAGATCAGATCAGATCAGATCAAAAAATTCAAACATGATTTATCACTTTTATTATTATATTAATTATGATTATTATATTATAGTTATTGTTAATAATATTAATATATTAATATAATAATAATATTAATAATAATATAATAATAATGTTAATAATATAAAATTATTATTATATTATAATAATATAATATAATATAATATAATATAATATAATATAATATAATATAATATAATATAATATAATATAATATAATATAATATAATATAATATAATATAATATAATATAATATAATATAATATAATATAATATAATATAATATAATATAATATAATATAATATAATATAATATAATATAATATAATATAATATAATATAATATAATATAATATAATATAATATAATATAATATATTATAATATAATATAATATAATATAATATAATATAATATAATATAATATAATATAATATAATATAATATAATATAATATAATATAATATAATATAATATAATATAATATAATATAATATAATATAATATAATATTCAATTATAATTATAATTATAATTACAATTATAGAAATATTCAAATCAGATCAGAAAGATTCAGATCAGAAGAATTCAGATTAGATCAGAAACATTCAGATCAGATCAGAAACATTCAGATCAGATCAGATCAGATCAGCAACATTCAGATCAGTTCAGCAACGTTCAGATCAGATCAGAAAGATTCAGATCAGATCAGAAAGATTCAGATCAGATCAGATCAGATCAGAAAAACTCAGATCAGATCAGATCAGATCAGAAAAATTCAGATCAGATCAGATCAGAACTTAAAAAATTCAGATCAGAAACATTCAGATCAGGTGAACGGAACAGCTTCTTAATAGACCAGTCACTACTTATATACGGAGTATATACTAACTATGAGTAATCTTCCGGTCAGGTATACCTGACCGGAGCCGCCGTCCGGCCTCCTCCTTTTGGGGGCCTTCCCGGTGTTATTTTTTGCTCAATTTTTTTGTGTATGTTCCTCATCAAGTCTAGTTCATCCATACCAAATTTCATCAAAAAATTCAATCGGGAAGGTCGTCAAATGATTTTTGCAAGTTAACTGGTCCGGAAAATACATATTCCGGACCAGTTAACTTGCAAAAATCATTTGACGACCTTCCCGATTGAATTTTTTGATGAAATTTGGTATGGATGAACTAGACTTGATGAGGAACATACACAAAAAATTTGAGCAAAAAATACCACCGGAACGGCCCCAAAAGGAGGAGGCCGGACGGCGGCTCCGGTCAGGTATACCTGACCGGAAGATTACTCTACTAACTATATATAATAGTGAGAATAACTTTAAATTATACATATCAACCATCATAGGTCCATTAAAAAAAACCATCATAGGTCAATCAACCATGATACATACTACCTTCTTTCTAATGGACTTTGTTAACATATGAGGTTTCATTCTAAAAGGTCAACCCTGATAGGAGTAGTAGCACATGTCTTAATATAGTAATTTTTCCTTCACAAGTTTCTGGTGTGACAATTTAACACCCCTCCTCACGATCAGACCCTTCGTCTGGATCGTGTCGTCATTCAATTTTTCGTTGGTTCGTCATTGTCAATTTTTTTTATAATCGTGTCGTCAATTTTTCATAAGGGGACTCACACCATGGATCGATTAGGCTTTCATACCATGTTAAGACACGGGGTTCCATCCTAAAAGGTCAACCCTGAAAGGAGGAATAGCTCATGTCTTAATATAGCAATTATTCTTTCACAAATTTCCGGTGTGAGAATTTAACAGACTTTGCATTTATTTAGGCCTTCTATCAGGCCCAATTAGAGCATTGTGTAGCCCGTTTCTTATAGGATGCTCATTGCTCAAGCAGTGGCGGAGCCAGAAATATATTGTTAAAGGGGCTAGTCCTTAAAAATTTTACATTGTATGGGCCAAAGTTTAAAATATCGACATATTTTCTATAGATTAAAAGTATTTATACATAATATATACTTAAGAATTTTTTCTCTTGCAGGGGCCGAGGCCCCCTCCAGCCCCTCCCTGTCTCCACCCCTGTGCTCAAGGGCCAATTTAATGCAGCTCGTTATAGTTGATAATTTATTAATGGATTAATGAATGTCATGAAGGACCCATTTAGTAATATTGGACTAATTAAATTAAAGATCAGTTGTGTAATGATCGAAGTAGTAACAGTAAAATTACTTTCCTGTCTGAAATCAATGTAGAAGACCTTTTCAGCCTTTTCTGAAATAAATTTTCTTTTTTTAAAAAATATCTTTACTGTAACATTTACATAGTTCAGCGCACTCAACGAGTTCAACTACATCAGTTAGAATTATATCGTTTTTAGTAGATTCAACCGATTCAGTCAATTCAAGTGCTATAACGGATTCAAAATTATTGAGACTTGTTTGATTCAAGGATTTAATAAAGTGAACGGATGATTGATTTTTGGTTTACTAATTTTTCTTTAGTTTTTTACTTGTCAATTTTAAACTAACAATACCTTTGTGAGTGGGATCCCTATTTATTTACAACACTAAGAATGTTTTTACTTGGATGGAATTAGCTGGTCTGGA